AATTGTTCTTCTCTATAGTGTTTATATAATTGAGATTTTGAGTTTGTATTATATAGTACCTTTGGATTTAATAATTTTAATTGATTTTGTTGAAAAATTTGTATATCTTTATCTGTGTCTATTATTTCTCCTAATTGTTGATTATTTTCTTCTCTTGATTTTCTATTTAATATTTTTGATATAAAGTTATTACTTATTTTATTCTGGGTGTAACTAGGTTCTGGTCTTTTATCTCTTGATCTAGTTGGAAAAATGTCCATTTTTTTTGTTCTTTTTTAATTATTTTTTCTTTTTGAGGGGTAATTGCTATTTTATTTAGCTTTTCTATTAGTTCTCCTATTCCAGTTGTATCTTTACTTTCAATTTTTTCTTTATAGTTTCTATCTATCTTTTTATTTAGAGATAATAAAAGCGATATTATTATATTATTTAAACTTGATCTGATTTTGAAGATGGGATAAAATCTTTATAGTCTGATGGAAGGGTTATTCTTTTTTCTATTAATTTTATTGCTTCTTTATTAGCTTCTGCTTCTATTAAATCTATCATGAAAGAACTATTTCTTTTATTAATTCTAATTCTGTCTTTATTTCTTGTATCTTTATTACTAATGTATTATTAAATTCTTCTTTAGGTTTATTTTTTAATTCGTTTAATTTTTTATTTAAGTCTATTCCTTGTTCTTTTAAGTAGTCTAGATTATTTTCTATTCTGCTAAAAAGCTGTTTCTGCTTATTTTGTATTTCCTCTTGTTCACTTAATATCTTTATGATTTTATTATTTGATTCTTTTAATTTTTCGCTAAGATTAATTATAAGGTCTATTAGAGTATTATATTGAGTATCTTCTGTATGTAAGATATGATTTCCGTTTCCGAAATTACACTTAATTGTACTGTCTGGTTTTACTCTTTGGAATCTTTTTTCTGTTTGGATCTGTAAGTCTAGATAATCTATATTCTTTGATGAAGCTATTTTTACTAAGTACTGTTTTTATCCTAAGGTAGTTGCTTTATAACATTCATAAAAATATTTTATTCTTTTATTCACATATTCTATATCACTTTCAAGTCCTTGTACTTCCCATTTTAAAGCGTTTATATATTCTTTGTTATTTACTGTTTTTTCGAAATAAATATAAGTCGGTGTAAAAAATTCGTTTTCGTATATATATATGTAAGCTTCTATAGATTCTTTTATTCTATATATATATACACACATATATGTGTGTGTGTTGGTGGCTGCCAGTAGTAATAGGCTAGTTTAAATTTCACGGTTTTGATGAATGTATTTTACATCCATACTTGAGCAGCAAACAAGCATGTTAAAATTTGCACGTGTCGAGGTCCCGCTTTATCGCATAATATTATCAGTATTATGGTCTATTTTACTTTTCTCTTGTCAGTTGTGTTCGGAGGTTATGCACTATCTCGCCACATGTTGCTATTATTATTTGTTGATTTATTCACGCCCCTTTCATTATATAAATTCTCTAAGAAGGTATAATCTTATCTAGCATGAAATTTTTTTTTACTTACGGAAATGCTGACATTGTACAGTCAACATTTGTTTTGGGTTAAAATGACTTGTTAGCACCCAATACGATTTAAAGTATTCTCATACCATTTTGAGGAGTTTAAATATTGAGATTGTACTTGACCAAATTTGTGCAGTGCTTCCATTTGCCTAGTTATAATCACAATCTGTCAAACTCAATGCTTTGCAAATTTCCTTTTATTCATATTAATTATTTTCAGTTGGAATAGTATACTGAGGTTGAAATTTAATATTGATGCACATTTTTTTTGTTGTACCACCTGTTTTTCACTTTTTTTTCGACATACTGATTTCCTTTCAGTTGTTTAATATCAATTTATTATATCTTCCTCAAGGTGTCATTTGTCACTCTACTTATTTTTCTTGTTACTATTAAGGTCATAAAGGTCTGCTCGTTTTTTTAATTATTTATCTTTTTCCTCATTATTGGGTGTTATGTGCTTTTTGGATGAGCAGTAGCTCCCCATTTTCTTTTTGGGCTATGAGTAAAATAGTTATTGGAATTCGGATGTCTTATTGTGCGATTTTTTTTT